CTATACTGACAAGCATATCCAAAGCAGGGAGTTGGAATTCTGAGAACAGGATCCAGTTTTTGAGGCTGGCAGAAGTGAGGCAAGACTTTAGGGCCAAAGTCAAGCAGGTGGGCTCAGCAAAGGGAAATGGAGCCCCAGGCAAAGCATGTAAGGCAGAAGCCTGGATTTTCACCTTTAGGGGCCCAGCACAGTGGTCAGATCGAACAGCTGACAGTAACGGGAAGCTAGAGCAATTCAAAGGTTAAATGAGCGCTGGGACTCTTCCCTGGCACCCAAAACCCAACAGGTGGACAGAAGTTAGGGGCAAATTAAAAAGTGCACAGCCTTGGGTTTTAATTTCTGAATAGTCTACCTACGCGTTATGAATTATGAGTATCAAAAAATAGGAAGGACCACACATTTCTACTTCAAAACATAATTTTCTTTAATGAAAATAATTGTTACTAGTATAGAAGCAGTCTTGTGTCCATTGCAGAAATTTAGAAAATATAAAGGTGTCTAATCTCAGCAACCTGGAAAGCCCAGGTCCAATTTCTAGGCAAAATGGTGTGCACCTATAGTCCAAGAACTTAGAATGCTGAGGCAAAGGATCACGAGAGAGCAATACCCTATCTATTAAAAAAAATGAAGCAAAATCAAACTAAATAAAACAGCATATTTCAATCACACACAAATAGAATTTTTACTGTATTCTCCTCCAGATCTATATTTTTTATTAGAATGAGATTTTGCTTTACATATTTCTTGGTATGTGTTTTTTCCTATTAACATTTTTCACCTTTGTGGTCTAGCAAATATTGATTTTATCTAATATTCACTCTGTATTTAGATTTTCCCAATTGTCCCAAAAGTGTATTTACAGCATTCTGTCCTAACCTGGATCTAATCTGGGGCCAGAACTTATACTTCGTGGCTATGTGCTTTAAGTCTCTTCTGATTAGCATAGTCTCTTTCTTCCCGACACTGACCTGTTGTCCTGCAGAATATCTCACTTATGGATTTGTCTGGCTCCTTTCTAGCAGTATCATTTAGTTTGGTTCTTTTCTCTTCTCTTCTCTTCTCTTCTCTTCTCTTCTCTTCTCTTCTCTTCTCTTCTCTTCTCTTCTCTTCTCTTCTTTTCTTTTCTTTTCTTTTCTTTTCTTTCCAAAGCCAGAAAGTATATGTTTGTGCATGAGGGTAGAGGGAGGAAGTATTCCTACCATGGGACCTGGTCATGCCATAATCTTTTTTTACCCCAATTCTCTATCCTATCAATACTCTAGACATGGGTACACACCTGGCTTGTTTTTTAAGCCAACAGGCCTAGAACTTGAACTCTGGTTGGCTGTAGGACCTGGCTGAATGTCTGGGGTTGGAATACAGATAGTCTGTGTACTCGCTATTGTGTTACATCAGGAGAAACAGTATCTGGATGACCCACTACTAGTGATTCTAAGCTTGAATACATGATTTGGGTCCTGGATTTTTAAAATAGGATTCTAGACTTACATAGTTGGGACATGACTCTCACACGAATTTCCATCACAATTCCATTCATTGCAACTCCACCTCTGTCTCCATTGCGACTCCCAGTCCTCATTCCTCTAGCCACCTTTCAAGCATGAAAGACAAGAAAGAATAAAGGGACAGTATTAAAACTGGAAAGTGGAGTCTGCTAGCTCCCTCTCTAGATGTAAGCAGGATGCATATCCAGAGATTTACCTCTCTCTACATTCCAGGCTCCAAGCTATTGTCGAGCACAAAATAACTTTGGTGTTGATGACTACACACACCACAAGGTAATATGCATAAGATAAGAATGTTCTCACAGCTTTTGGAAAAGATATAAGCTTATCCAGAAAGCTGAATCAACCCTCCTATAAATTCATTACACCAAAAAAATGAACTTTTGCTTTTTATTTGTTCTGAAAAATCTGAGAAGCAGTCAAAAGTATATTGGATGATGTTTGGCCTGAGAGATAGGAGATCAGTTACCTAGGCCCCACTTTCTTGCATTTTGCTTTTTAACCACTGAGTCTGTACAACCCTGGTCAAGTACTTTTAATACTCTCTGTCTTAGTTCCCTCATCTGTAAAATGGGGATAGAACTGTTGATAGTGTATGGTTCTTGTGAGGATTTAACTACATCTGTGAAGCATCTTCTCTACAGTAAGATGCTCCCAGTTCTCTTCTTTGTTATTGGAGTGGGCCTAACCCCCACAGGTGGAATTTACTAGTATAAGTAACTGGGAAAGCTGGGGAATATTGGAGTTCCAGGCAGAAGTGACCATTATTGTAATCTGAGCTAGCCTTTGATCAGAAATACATGATACCAGGCTAGCCCATTGGGTGGTGGTTAATGTGGCTGGATCCCACATGGCCAACCACATGGCTCTGGTCTCAGAACCAATAGTTTGAAAAAACACTGTATGTGTATGTGTGGTGTGTGGTATGTGGTGTGTGTGTGTGTCTGTGCCTAAAATCCTGAGAGGATATTAGAGAAGAAGGGATTGTGGCATCCACTCTCTTGGGAGAGGGGGTCCTTTCACACCTTCTCTCTCGCTCTTGCACTCACTTTCTCTCTATCTCCCTATGGTGGGTATATGACCCCTGTGGCAAATTAAGGAAAGAAAAAAAGTATGTGGTGCCAAAACTGTTGTAACATGTGACTTTCAGTATAACCATAAGACTCATATTTTGTTATTTTTAAAATAGATTTGGGATGGGATCAGCAGATGGCATAGTGGTTGTGTCAATGGACTCTCACATGCTCAAATGCAGTTCAAATCCCAAACCTTGAAAATCATGCCAGGCACATGTACATGTGTGCCCAAAATCCCAGGAGGAGAATGAAGGAGAAGGAATTGTGGCATGGCCATCCACACTGTGGAGAGGCAGTGATTTCTCACTTAGCCTCTCACTGTTTCTCTCTGGAGAGTGCATGCATCCTGTGGCAAATACTTTTAAAAAGTAGATTTAGGATATTACAGGCAAGTTCATCATTTAGAACCCAGAAACAGAAACAAAGCAGTTAATAGTAGATCTTGACTTTTTATTCTACTTCTCAGGCACCAAGCCTTGCACATACATGCCATTCTAACAAAATCTCAGAAAGATGACCATTTTTATGACATTTTGGACACTTTATTTGGCTTTTAAAATGGAAATTATGCCTCCTTTATGTCTCTAATAATATGTGCCAACCTAATGAAAGTGTGCCAGCATTGCTAGCTTTTGTTTTGTTTTTTAATTTTTTTAAATACACGATAGGGCATGTGTTCTTGCTGGAGAGGCACAAAGGGAGAGAACAAGAAAGAAAGAGAAGGAAAGCAAGAAAGTACTCCCCACAGACACACCCCAGGGAGATGGCTACTCTACAAGCATTTCTCCTCCATTCTTCTTTCAGGATTTTGGGCATACACATACATGCACCCAGAGTTGGGATGCTGGGTTCAGTACTCAAAGCAGTCAGCCATGTGAAATCCGGCTGCCTTCACCACCATGTCACTAGCTGGCCCCATTTTGTTTTTAAGATGGGATCTCAATTTGTGTTAATCATTCTATCTCAGTCACAACTGAGACTACAGACAGATGTGACCATACCTGGCTCTTTGTGTAGCTAGGGTCTCACTGTGTTGTCCAGGCAAGTTTTGAACGTGGGATCCTCCTGCCTCAGCCTCCCCACGTTGCTGTGAGTACAGGCACATACCATCATGCCAACATTAGGTTGGACTGGGAATCAGATCTGGGCCTGCCATGTGATCCTAGCCTGTAAAACAGTGTCTTAGGACACACACCACTGGCTGGGCCCCAGCGTCGCTTGTTTTTAAGGTGTGTGTATGTGTGTGAGTGTTTGAAGGGGTGCCGTGAAAACTTTATGATTACTCTCTGTTTTTGTGATAACTTTGACACTCTTAGAGGTTAGTAGTTCTACTGGAGGATTCTGGAATCCACAGACCTAAGTTTGAAGTCCAGATCCCCCACTTACTAGCAGTATGACTCTACAAAGATTAGACCTAAGGTTCACATTGTCCCTGGGAATTTCAGCTCTTCACTTTCAGAAGAGAGCTGGTTATTGTAAATACCACAATGGTTGTTGTGAATATTAAATGAAAAAATGTAAATTAGTCATGCCACCTACTGTATAGTAAGAATTCAGAAATTAGTTGTTATTTAAATTATCTTTCCAAAGTGAATACAGTTTATAAATGTTTACTTTCCCTAATCTTTATCCTAACTCTGACACTCAATGATTTGCTACTGTTAGATTGAGGAAAAGTATCAGTAATTTCTGCCCATCAGACCTTTAGTGAGAATTTTTTTCAGTAGCTTTAATTAATGGGTTGGCAAGTCTGATAAAACACTAGAGAATGGGGTGTTCATAGAAATTATTACCATTTTTGCCTAGCATATATGAGGCTTGAAGCCTTAGAGTGCTATTATTGCTCATTGTGGAGCATGCCACGTCCCCCAAATAACCACAGTTTGTACATTCCAAATTTAGTAGGCTATATTCATAGCTATCATGTGGGAGCTTCTGCGAAAACTCAAGGCCAACTGTCATGTGATGTAGTGGGCTTGCTGAATTGGAATCACATCTCTTTTCCCTAGTCTACACTGGTTATTCTGTGTGTAATTAAAGGCCTTTAATGCATGTTAAGTTTTTCCCATGTTTATTAAGCTTATTCAGTAACATAAAGTGAAAATAAACAAAAGGTCTCATTTCTTGATGTTGCACTTGTTAAGTGTGTACAAATCACCTGCATTGTACAAGGTATAGGTGAAAAACGAGAGTTAGCCTTTACCTCCAGCACTCTTACACATTTTTTTATAACTTAAGATTAAATGCTCATTACCAGCAACTTCAGTTATTAAATACTAGCTCAATCAGTTCACCTGACTTTTGTTATTCTATTAAAGTCTAAGGACTAGAATTTTTTAGGACAGAGATAGTAATACAGAGCTCCAGAGTTGTCGGCCCCTACAAATAAGATTTGTTTGCTCTTTGTTCTTTTTCCTAGAGGACTCAACAGACACTTCTTATGAGAACCAGGACTTCGGTAAGTCATAGTCTGAGCCCTGAATGCTAAGTTAGTTGAAGAATCTTTCATGACAGTCTACTCATTAAGAAATACATGATTCCAGGCTGGCAGGTGGCATGGTGGTTAAGGGCACTAGATTACCACATGGTCTGCTGTTCGAGTCCCAGACCTGGTAGCTTGCTTTCTCATTTTCCCTCTCTCTCTCCCTCTCTCTCTCCCTCACTCTGTCCCTCTCTGGTTAAACTAAAAATAAATAAAGTTAAATACAACAATTCTTTAAAAAACAAAAGAAATACATGATTCTTTTGAAATCTAGGAACACCTGGATATTTGATTGGTAAAAGGTAATTATTGATTGAAGGCTTTTTAGATCCTTCTTTCAAGTGGTTGATTTCTTCCTCCTGAAGAGGTTCTCTGTCTTTGGAGCTGTGAATGATCCCCCAGGAAGAACATCATATAGCTATGGATGCTCTATTACCCCATTATACCTCATACATCCTGTTTGTGTCCTTCTGTCTCAGTTTATGGTTTTCCTGTTCAAATCTCTCTCTCCAATAAAGATCTCCAGCGTCAGGCTCTCGTGACACTGAGTATTTTACCCAGTCCTCTTCTGAGTCAGTCCCATACAGCCGAGTTGCTAAAGTGTGGTCTGTGGGCAGCAGCATGGGCAACCTAGGATTAAGAAATCTATGACTCAAGACCAGCAGTTAGCGTAATGGCTATGTCGCTGTACTCCCATGTAGTCGACCATGGTTCGAGTCCCGGACCTGGTGGCTTAAACTCATGCCGGGCGCGTGTGCATGAGTGCCCAAGATCCCAAGAGGAGAATGGAGGAGAAGGGATTGTGGCGTGGCCATCCCCCTTGAGGGGTGATTTCTCACTTTCTGTCTCTCTGTCTCTCTCTGTCTGTCTGACGAGCGCACGTGCCCTATAGCAAAAAACCTCTCCAAAAAAGAAAAAAAAAAAAGAAATCTATGACTCAAGTTCAGTCCCTGACTTACTGAGTCAGAATCTGCATTTTCACAAGAATCTCAGGTGATTCATGTGCAAGGAACATTGAGCAGCACCAGTTTCAGGGACTATTCTTCTGTGCAGTGTCATTGCCTCTGAGACACACAAATAAGCACTTTTATTCTGTGACTCCCCACATTATTTTGATACCAAATCCTCAATAAGATTATTGTGGAGGGTAAAAAGTTAAAAGTTTATCCTATTAGCAATTTTGAAATATACAATACGTTATTATTACCTGTGGTCACCATGGTGAGGTGATAGATAATGCTTGACCTAATGGTTCTCCAATGTATACATAGCCCATAAATCATTACATTATAGCCCATAAATATACACAATTATAACTTATCAATTAAAAATAATTTTATTTTAAAAGATTATTATATTTGTACTTCCCTGCCTCTGTTCTCAGGCTTCTTTGTTTTTTATATTTTAAGGAATTATTTATTTCATTTTACTTATATTATTATTTTTAACTCACCATAGACAGAGAGAGAGAGAGAGAGAGAGGAGAACAGTGAGAAAGCAAGCCACCAGGTCCGGGACTTGAACTGTGATCAGCCATTTGGGAGTCCAACCACCATACCACCTGCTGGCTCTCAGATTCCTTTATTAACTTTAACTGTTTAGGTTCTGTTGTATGTTCTCATACTAAGAATTTTGCAGTTTCAAAATTCCTTACACAGACTTTGTCACTTGGTCAGATGTGATCCTGTAAGGTAGAAAGGTAGGTAATAGGATAATCTTTTGTACAGGCTATTTTGTAAATTTCACTTGTAATTTTCTAATCTTAGAAATTTATCTTCAAAAAGGTGAAAATGAATAGCAAAAGTTTTTGCCTTTCATTCTACCTTGGGGGAAAAAGTAGAAACCAAGCCTTATTATGTTATCAAAAATCAGTAGATCACTCTCCCTCAAAAGTATCATGAATCAAAACAGTGTTTAATGTTCAATATGATTTGAGTTATATTTTCATTCATAAACCTCGTCTTACCAATTAGGAAAAAGTAGTTAGACTGATAATAAAATCCTCATCTTTCTGACGAGGTTTTTTGAGATAAATGAGCAATGAGAAATAAGCACTCTACTTGTGATATCAATAGCCTAAGGAGAGAAGGACCGATGAACACTGCTTCTGCTTCAATGTATAGGAATCAAAAAAGGGAATGAGGCCAATGTAGGATATTACCCTGAGGTATTAGACAACTTCCATTCTCCCAGAGAAAGCATAACAAAGCTGAATAATGGTCTAAAATAAACTGTTGGTTTTGTGTCCACTGTGTGTCCATACTAGGGCAAACACTCCCAGATTCTGAGATTTAGTCTCACGAGTTAAGGTTGAGTGAATAAACAGACATATCTTGATTGGGTAAATGGTGCCATTTTTTACTTTTCTTTTGATCCATTCACTCAGCCTTTGTACTTCTTTTTAACAGTTTAGTGGTAAAGCTGAACTATATTAACAATGTGTGTGAGCTTGGAGGAATTGGAGGGTTGTTGCGATTAACCAACGAGAACATCTTCAATAGTCACCTGTGATAAAGAAGCTGAGGCCCAGAGGAGTTGGTGGCTCAATACCATGTGTTGAATCTCGTCTTCTCTCGCAGGGAAGCTGAGTCCTTATCCTTGCTGAGGTGAGACACCTCCATAGCACTGCCTCCTGTAGCATCTTGCTCAAGGGCTGCCTCCTCAAGGATCTTGCTCTTACAGTACCCCCTCCCTCTTGCACTGTTCACCTCTATGTACAAATATGCCTTTAAGTCTCACACCTGAAACTAAAGAAAGGGAAAAACTTGCATTAACCTCCTCATCGCTCTCCAAATAGCAGCTAATTTCTTTGCTTTCTCTCAAAGCAAACTCCAAAGAATTCTTTACAGGCACTGACTCCACTCATTCTCTCCTATTCTTTCATTAATCTGCCAACTCGAATTCCACAATAGCTTTTTATCCGTGTTTCCAAAGATCTCTATTTTGTTCCTTCCACACAAAATTCTCTTCTTCACCATACTCTTTCTCATCAGTTTTTAGTGCTGTCAAGCTGCTCTCTTTTTAAAAAACACTTTATTCATCTGCTTCATGATACCACATTCTCTTGGTTTTCCTCTTATTTTTCCAATGTCTCTTCTTCTGCCCAATTTCTGGACAGAAGGAGGAACCTCCAACCCCCCTGGATAAATTTTCTCTTTTTGACTTTCCTAGGTGATTTCAACTGGTTCCATAGTTTCAAGTCTCATGAATGTGCTGTTAATTTCTAGACTTATATCTCTAGACCTGATTGTTCTTTCTTCAGACTCATTTTTTTTTCAACTTTACACCCCAGCAAACCTGTTTTATAAGATGCCATGTCTTACTACCTCATTATGTCTCTTCATTCAGGTCACTGTCCTTTCTCACATAGGTACCTGCCATGGGCTCCAACCAGACTTTATACTGCAGCTAGTACCTTACTCCAGTCTATTCTCCCCAGAGCAATTATATCATGAACTGATTATTATTATTTTTTTGAGAGTTTTTTGCTATAGGGCACATGTGCTTGCCAGAAAGACAGAGAGAGACAGAAAGACAGAAAGTGAGAAATCACCACCCCCCAGAGGGGATGGCCAAGTCACAATCCCTTCTCCTCCATTCTCTTGGGATCTTGGGCACATGCACCTGGCATGAATTTAAGCTGCTGGGCCTGGGACTAGAACAGTAGTCAACTATGTGGGAGTCCAGCGATGTAGCCATTATGGCATCTGTTGGTCCTCATAAACTGATTCTTTAGATTGCTCTGGGAAGAGTTTATAACTGCAACTTCCTGTCTCAAAATCAAGTAGTAAACTGAGCAAATAACCAATTGCTGTTTAAATTTTCAAGCACAAATGCTAATGGCTTAATTTTCTAAAATGTATGATTCTTTTTACCAATTTTTGGTCAATAAATGTTACTATGAGAAGTTTTGGCTAGTGCCAGGTCTATTTTTCTGTGTGTGTGTGTAATTATGTCTGTAAAAATTTGATTTATTCTAAAGTCAAGATTTGCAGTTTTTAGGGTTACTCATAATATGTGATTTTTCAAACTGTTTTGAGCATTTCTCAATCCACCACAAAAATTTACTCTCTATCTTTAGTGTCAATTCTATTTTGCCATAAATATTTCTACGTAATCTTATTTTACTTAAGCCAAATTACATATTGTGTTAAATGTCCTTAGTGTCAAAACGCCAGGGTTAAAATACTCTCTTATAATTTTAGTTACTATTTATTCCTCTCAAGTTGGATCTCATTGTTAGTTAGCTCTCTAACAACTGAAAATTATGACTAAAATAGGTCTAACTCCAAACAGAAATTCCAGAAAGCCTAGATGCATCTTGAGGGAGCAAATGTAAATTTAAGAGACAAGGACATTTTTTTTTCTTGAGGCAAAACATGCTATGTAAATTTGACTTCGGAATCACTGGGAATGAGCCTTCCCCTTACCTAGGAGCTTTCTTTCCTGTGGCAACCCCATCTGGCTTCCTTTCTCTGAAAATGGATTGCCTCTTGGCAGAAAATATCACAATCAACTACTACTCACCTGTATAAACAAGAGTCTTTAGAAGATCAAACTAATTAAAATATATGATTTTCTTATACTGCTAAATCATTTTAGCTTTAGGAAGGTTGGCTAAAGTAATTGAAATACGTATATCCCTCACTGATTAATTCTTGAAATAGTTTGAGCTACCTGCCTAATTCTGCAAAATTATTCAAAACAGTTAAGGTGATTTCTTTGGACTAGATTTTATTTCTCAAATTTACTTTATTTTATCCTTTTTAAAGTTAGGGTTAGGGGTTAAGGTTAGGGTTTGTATTTTCTTTTTGAATTTTCTTCGGTTTCTCAGAAAGGCTGAGTATTATACCCTGTGGAAACCTACTTAGCTCTTCGGACATGTTTACATGACAACAACTACAATAATAAAATAGCCATTTTATAGCACAGTGTGTGGGATGTTATTCATACTGGTTTATATATTCTAACTCACT